CTCTCTCTCCCCCCCCCGCCCCCTCCCCCTACCAGGCATCCATCCATCAGCCTACCTGTCTTCCTGTGTATGCACCTGTCTGTTGATCCATCGCATGTCCTATCTGTTGCTCTTTGACCTCTGTCCAGTTATCTCTTGTATGTTTGTTCAACTTTGTTGTGCCTTCTGGTTGTTCGCCTTCTAAATGTTTCATCTTTGTAGCATTCCATCTCTCCGTACCAATAAGATGACTGGTTGATTTGCAGAGAACTGATCTCATATGTATAGCCTTTTCTGAATGAACAATGCAGGCGACTTCCTTTCGATACCGTCACCTCAGTGTTCCCTACCCCAATCTTTTTTTCTCTGATGTGATCGTGTTCTTAAACTGCATGCAGGGAAAGAACGCATCTTCCTTGAGATTGCACGAAGGCTGGACTGCAAGATTTATGTCGGAATGGCAAAGCAACGGCTATTGGAATGTATGGACCTTCCCACTGAGGACCTGGGCAGACTCACTTCAAATGATTTGGAGAGTCATATACATGTAGTTCCAATGTGGTCCATTGCATCTTTCAAAAGGATGACCCACATCATACAGCATTACCGCGGTCGATTCAACACTGTGGTTGGTTTCTCTCCAACCGGATGGAGCTTCGGTCGTGGGAAGAAGCGTAAGAATGGGTCCCGATATCAGCAGGGCACACTGATCAGGTATTGATCTCAATCGGACTCCGGCACAGTTTGCAACCCTGCATTCCCAGGTTGCTCTGGCTGGGATGATCGCTCCAATGTGTCCTGCAGGGCTGGTACGAAATGCTCAAGTTTAGTTGAGTCGGGGCAAAATCGAGTCGAGTCAGAGTTGGAGACTGCTACCGGGGGATGCTCGTACCAACCCTGGTAGCATCGTCGACGGATGTTAAAAAAAAAAAAAGGAAAAAAAAAGAGTCGAATCAACAATTGCATGGGCGTCTAGGCTACCAGAGTGACCCGGGACCACTTGCCCGGCTGGGCCAAAAACAATAATAAAAAAAATAGAAAAAAATATATATACAACGTGGCGAGCCTTGTACGTGAGAGGCACGGTGAAAAGGGAGTCAAAAGAAGAATGAGAAAAATGAATGGTTTCACTGTGCCCTTCATGTTTGTCCTGTTTTTTTTTAATTTTTAACTTTTGCCGTTTGTTTCGCAAAAATTGCGCTCTTTTAGTTCATAGTTATGTGACAATTAAATTTGGTGAAGAATTTCGATGTGACCTTGAGGCAAAAGTTGTTCAGTTTGTTTTTCGGTACAACATAGTGTTTTTCCCGGATTTTTGGATTTTTTTTTCTTTTTGTTTTTTGCTGGGACCTTCCCCTGGTCCCTGCACAGCGGGGCTGCCCGGGAAAACAGGGTGACCCGGGCGGCCCGGCTGGTAGCCTAGATGGGCGTACCATTCAGCCACAGGGGCTGGGTTTTCACCATGTGGCGAAGTTGTGTGGAAAAATAATAAAATATTATATAAAATGGAACATTAACAAGAAGAAGATGACATGAGTTTTATAACTTTGATATCATTGCGCTATCACCTTCCACCCCCAACTATTCCTTGAACTGAGAACATCAAGGATCTCAACCCTTCTACTCATACACCACTCAGATTGTGTTTGCCTCCTTTAACTGATAATAATTCGTTGGGCTACCAACCGGGTCACCTTGGTTTCCCTGGCGGCTTGGCAGGCTTGGCAGGACAAGAGCCAGGGGAGGTCCCTGCAAAAGGGGAAAAAAAAACGAAAAAAAACTACATTATACAGAAAAATTAACTGAACAACTTGTGCCTCAGTGTCTCATCAAAATTCATATTTTTTGTTCTATTTTCTTGGACCATTTCTCGATTTATGCGTGCCATCCTTGCACAGGGGCCATGCTAACCTTCTCCTCTCTGTATCGTTCCAATTTTAACGGATGTCCGGAAGGATGACTCTCATTGAAATCCTTTGCCAAATTAAAAGAAGTAAAAAGATATCTTTTTTTTTTTCTTTTTTTTTTTATGAAAAGCGGCTCCATCTATTGGTGGGGAGCATCACCTGCTGGAAAACGGGCCCAGCGTCCCATATATGTGCAGAATTCAGAGAACATCCGAAAGGGTTGTAGGAGATTCCCGCCAGCATTGATTGCCCTGGATTCCAGGGGATTGACTGAGCAGGACCTATTTATTTGTTTTTTTTGGCCCAGCCGGGCAAGCGGTACCAGGCCACTCTGGTAGTCTAGACAATTTGATAATTTGATAGTCTTTTTTTTTTTTCCACCTTGTGACAAATGGCAGTTCCTGAAGTGGCCGAGACAGCAGTGGACAGTCGCGGGGAAAGTTTTTGCAAAAAATAAGATAAAGCAAACTTAGAGGTGACAAGTTGAGAATGATCCCTCAGGTGGTTTATTTGGACACAGATGTAGCTGCTGATGGCAATTCAAATCGCTTAAAGACTAAGCACTGATACCTCCGCCAGTGTTGGGAAATTAGGGAAACGGGCTGTTCCTGGAGAGTTTGGAGGCCGGGCCCGACGACGGCTGCCATTGATAAATCTCATCTGCGGTCGTCGTTTCGTTTCGTTTCGGCCTCCTAAAAGGTCGGGGGCCCACCCGAGGCCTGTTATTTTCCCACTCGGCAAAGGTACTAGTGGTTTAAGAAACAAACAATGCACTGGCAAAAGCAGTCTTGTGAAAAAAAAAAAAAAAATGCAAAGAAATCTTTCTTCTCCACTGGCTTGCGTGAATCACAAACCAATCTGTTAGCAACTTGGATTTGAAGAAAAGAAACTAGAGAAAAACGGTTGCAAGACCAAGTACGGATTACATAATTGAACAATAGCAGTGCATACAACAGAAAGGCTGAGAGCAGAGTTTTCTGTTATAGTGGGTGTGGTTATCTGATGATTGTGCGATATCACTCAGCTTACAACATGTGGAGTCAAAGAGTCGAGTACGAGTCAAAGAGTCAAACCAAAGCAAGGAGTAGACTGAGAGTACACAGTATAAACAGTAAAATGATTGCATGAAGCCGGTGGGTAATTGCTTCTCCAACCGGTTTCGACCACGCCACCACGTGGTTATCGTCAGGGAGATTTACCACCCTACGTCTCCCTACGCCGGAAACTAATCATTCCACAGTCCCACCTCCACTAACAACCCTACCAAGTCGCATCTCCGGAAATGCCGCTGGGTCATTCAGTGTCGGACCCGAAGGGGCCATTGGCTTAGCAGTCAGCAAACTTATAGTCCTAGTTCGAAACGTCCTATGGTCTCCTACCTAGTACCTACCACATCACACGTCCGGTCTAACTGCAAAAACACGTTAACCAAAAGTCGAAGAAGCCCGCCAGCCCCAGGTCCCACCTGAAACCGGTATGGGACCAGGAGCTTCAGTCCTTATACCGCAGGTCGCAATTCGAAAATTCTACAGGCTCTAGAAGGTCCTAGTGTGAATACTTGTATATCCAACAAACAGAAAATAAAAGAGTAGGAAACCGGCCCTGGGATTGATTCATTGCGAACGCAGAGTCATGTAGCAGATGCAGTACCTACTTACGTCAGGGGTACGAGACCCCGTCCCCACTATCCAAGCAACAAAATATTACACTTCTCAACAACAATCTGTAGTGTCCTGCACCGATCCTGCCCCGTCCGAGCAACAGAATGTGGCAGTTCCCATGTAGATGACGGGTTCGAGACCTGTTTATGCTATCCAACAGGGTTGCATCCCTGCCGACTGCTGACCCCGACGGCCGACCAGCAGGGCCGACCGGTCGACGGTCTGCCGACCAGTCAGAAAACACAACCATCCACTGATTTTTTTTCAAATCTGAGTTGGGGGCTGTACTGCGCTTGCTGAGTACAGCCCAAATCCGCTGAGAAACTTTTTAGGATGGGGGGGGGTATGGGGGGGTCGGGGTTGGAGTATAGGGGGGGGTATAGGGGGGTATAGGGGTGATATAGGGGGTATTGGAGGAGAGGGGGGGTGTTAATAAGGGTGTTGGGGTTGGTTTGGGGGTGTTGCGGGGGTGTATGGGTATTGGGGGCCGCTATGGCGGTGTTGGGGGGGTTACTAGGGGTTCTGAACTTCCCCCCCCCCCCCCTTTTTTTTTTTTTTTTTTTTTTTTGTGGGGTGCCGGCGATCCCCAACCGGTAGGTGCCGACCAGTCAAGTGCCGCCGACCAGTCAAGGGCCGCTGACCATCGGGGGTTGCAACACTGCTATCCAAGCAATAAAATAGGACGGGTGTGGTTAGTACTGGTTACTTCCTATTTACTTCTTTTTTCCTATTCAGCCTTGTGTCTATCTTTGTTTTTTTTTTATCACAGAGAAACTTTGGACTACATGGTCCGTATGTCTATTTTTCTTTGGTGCTGATCATCATGAATTTCGGAAAATTCCCCATCGGTGATTGGCATGTGTCAGGTATGATGTACCATACAGCGAACATAGCAGTTTTTCAGAGTTGCGAGAGTTCCTCCGACTTTTGCAGCCAGAAAACATAATACCAAGTGTAAACAACAAGAGTAACGAGGCGGCGGATTTCATGATTGCACAGCTTCTGGGTGAATAGTGACGGGGCAAAACGGACGGCGTAATAAGTCGGCCATCCTCGACGGAAACAAATTCAAGCAATGCCTTTTGTGCGATGCATGCCTTTGCCACATACCTCGGTTCACGAGAGAAGGAAGAAAGCAAATCGTCTTTTTAACTATGACGAAGCGGAAACATGAAATCAACACAGAGTGGTGGAAGAAGACAGGATCGGAATCTGATGCAAACACACAGGGACAAGGGCAACAGAACAGAGAAGTGACGCGGCAATGCACTGAACACCAACAATGACAGCACTGACACAGGAGCACAAAATGGAATCACAACCATTTTCGCCGACGAGAATGGGTGCGGCAGCAGAAGCAGAGAAGTGGCAGGCAGCAGAGTATGACATATCAACCACAACAACGAGGCAACCAAAGCGCCAACAGCAATGACATGCCAACATAGTGGACACTGGACAGCAACAGTGACAGCAATCATAACAGCCACAGTGGTGGGAGGAGCGATAGCAACAGCAGTGGAAACAACGACAGAAACAGCTGTGAAATAGCAATGGAAATGGCTACAGAAACAATTACAGAAGCAGCTACAGACACAGTGTGAGAGCCAGCGAAGGAAGCAGCACTATGGACAGGAGAACGAAGGGAAGCAAAGACGGTCATAAGAATAGCAATCGCAACAATTGAATGGCGATGGCGATGGCGATAGCAGCAGCAGTGGCGGCAGGTGATGGGAATAAAATTTCCATGGATCCTCTATTTTCATCAAGTGATTGATTGATTGATTGATTGATTGATTGATTGATTGATTTAACTGGTCAATCAGTTGAGCTGTGTGTGATCAATTTGCATCATCTGTGTGATGGGAACATAACAATGCTGCTTATGTGTGGGATGATTGGAAAGGTAATTGCCTTCAGCAGAGACAATGTTCGGCATTTTTTCTCTGTTGGGCTCCTCCCTCCTCCCTCTCTTTCCTTTCGTTAGCTAGAGCACTAAGGTCATGCATTGTGACAGTCAAATGGTGGACTTTGTTTGACCTGCTGATCAGTATAGCCCCCCGTCTACTGCCATGTGTCAAATGATGGCATCCTGCATCTTTTCGAGGCAATTGCTGACTTTTCATGCAACTCTTTAGACTTTTTTTGGGCTCCCTTATTTCACGGGCTATTGCTGCTGACTGGTCAGCTCATTGCTGACTTTTCATGGAAGTTTATTTTGCCCCCTTATTTTATGGGCCATTGCTGCTGACTGGTCAGCTCATTGGGGTGTAGGAAAATCGCAAGACCGCAGCTGCAGCCGTAGGTCCGCCACTTGCGCCAGTGATGCAGCAGAAATGAAAGCTGAGCCGCTGAAGAGTCCGCTGATGGCAGACCGCATGGTCCAACTTGTTCTTGGGCAGTTTCTTGGTACCATTGCCTGACATCCCGTAAACGGTTCTTTAAGGTTCATTGACCGTTCCCTCGAGGCAAATTTTGTGATGGTCTCATGCATGAAATGTGTGAATGCGCGCAAAAAAAAAAAGGCTAACGACTGGTAAGGAGTTAACAAACACAGCACACATGGCGTCTGCGATTAGAGAATACCAATTGTACCATGCTGTTTCTGACTGTAGACACTGTATGACAGTGTGTGTGCTATACTATTATATAGGCCATGATTGCGAGGGAAGGTTTGCCGACGATTCAGCAGCTGGCTTTGGGAGCAGTTGATGGCATCTCTTTATAGATTACTTGCTCGCAAGACAGTAGACGGTGTTTCGGCGACATAAGTCACTTTGCACACTTCCTTATCTCAACCCCTGCAGTGGTCGCTTAGAGATAGCACACATCCAGTCAGCTGCAGCTCCTTTGTGATGACTCTACGTGCAGGGCATCTGAATGTCAGCGATCTCGATATGGACTCCCGCTTCTTAAGTCCCCCTTGTATATCTGCGAGGCTACGCCCGCTTAGCCCCTACGGGGCTCTATCTGCAACAAGGTCGGCCGCCCTAAGTGAAGGCAGGCACGACAGGCCCTTCGGGCCTCATTCTTCAGGGTACCCCGCAACGGGGAAATTCAGGCAGTTGCGTTGCCCCAGTTGGTTGAATGAATCCAGGCCCTGGGCCGCCTGTGTAAATGAATGTGAAGCAGGCCCTGGGCTGGATACGGGTACCGGGCCAAACACAGGCCGAAAGCAGTTGGGCGCATGCAACCACTTCAGGCCCCAGGCCTGCTCCCTTCGTGACTGGGCCTGTGCCTACCGGGGCCTACCGGAAGTTTCCTGGACTGGACGCAGGCAGGCCACTTCGATATAGGGAAGGGCCTGCCTCCTCATTCGGCATTCGGGTGCTGGCTGCATGCTGCGTGAGCGCTGCTGCGCA